TTCGATAACTTCATCTTTGATTTGTTACTCTGTGTGAACTGAGTGTTACACATTCGACCGAAACTGACTCTTTATCCCTCGAAAAACTGTCCAAATAAGACTACATCAAGTGTCTCTCATTAAATCCCGCCTGTTTGGAGCTTGGTTGCCGGAATAACGCATAATAAACTACTGATAAACCGAAAAATGCTTTTCTCGTTGCTATGGTAACCACGCAATTAGCCAGAGTGGCAATTTTGAAATCGCTTAAAAGGGTAAAAATAATGAAAATAAGTAGAAAATTATTTTTTCATAGTAAATTTAAATACCCAAAGCTACAAATTCTAAGAAAAACAAAAAACTGAGTTTTGGAGCAAATTTCAGGTTTACCCCCGCCTTAATTAAGTCTCGTAAAACCAAAAAATAAAAAGAAATCATCGGGAAATCAAAACAGTGGAAGACGTTAGATAAAATGAAAACAAATTCGAGATGAAAATCGATAATCTTGATTGAAGTGTGGAAAAACGCGGCTGATCAAGTCCCTATTGTCCGGATTTTTCCATCTGATTGATTGAGAGAGTGGCATGAGTTTTGTAGATTAAACAGATTAAGTTAAAACCATTGTAATCCATGCCGACTGCTTCAGGCACTGAAGCACTGAGAAGAACCAAGGAGCTTAATGCCTTAAGTCGTTGCTCTGGTGTTCTATTTGTTTGTTTGCGGTCTGCCTAAAATATGAAGACGCCATATTGAATTTCAAAGTGAACAGGAAAAGTAGGATGCGGACGTGGGACGTCATAGAAGATTGCTATCTCGTTCCCAGGACTTCTCTTATTTACCGCACAAAAGAGATCCTGTATAGTGTGAGATCCTTCGTCGATTGTTTTTCTGCATGGTGACGTCATTTACTGAAATTCACCGTCAAGCCTCGTTAACCGTGGAGTTTTCATGAATCTTTGCCACTTTCTTATTGTTTCCGTATGGGTGTTCTCGTGATTTCAGTTTTTGGGTTACTTTCTTGTAAAAATTCATAACTTACTTCCTTGAAAGCGAGGTTTGGGGTGGAAAAAGGTATTTCGAAGTAAAAATGTACAAAGCTTTTCTTAGATAAGTTATTAGTGTATTTTTTTTTTAATGAGGCGCTTTTCGATAAGGTGTCGTTGAACCAAAACCAAAGTAATCACGCAGCTAATGAGATTGATTGAAGATATTACGTGGGCACGAATTCCATCGTTTTCTCGTGTCCAGTCTTCGGTCTTCCCGAGGAGGAGCGCGGGCTCATTCTCCAAACAGCGGCTGGTAGTCTTGTTAAATGTCTTAAGGAGTAAACAATAACTCAAAGTAAAATTACTTAACTGGCCGCAAGCGCTGGAAAACGCAAATTATCACGTCTCGATTGGTTGCAGTCTTGCATGTGATTTGTTGAGTAAACGGCAAGGGTCTTTTTAAACCAATCACGAGGCATAGTCGAATAAGCTCAAAGTAATGACACTATCAACACTTGATCGAGAACCGCTCCAACTTTGGATAGTTTTAATAGTTAGAGCAATCAGGATTGATAACAGATACAATATAACTATCCTTAAAACGCGTAAAGCTGGGTCAAACCATAAAAATGTACATATCATATCAAAATAAGGACATATAATCAGTAAATAATGTGAAAAACAAAAATATATACTGGGCATATAGGTTCAGTGAAAGGGATATAAAGATAAAGGCACTGAGACGTTAGAGGTCTGGTATGTTTTAATGGCCAGAGAGCGAGTGGATGAAGGTTTTCATATTCTACAGAAGGGAGACAAGGCAAGGGGTCTGTTGGTTGGTGCAGGTGTTAAACCAACCCAGTGAGTGAAGTTTTTACTTCCTGAGGCACCTATTATGCTACACCTGCATGCAAATGCAATCATTCGTCGGTTCATAGGTTGGTTATCAACAACGACTTCGGAAAACAATGTAAACCACCGGAGCGGAACTAAGGACAACCTGGGGCGGTTTACCTACTGCTCTAACCCTACAATTGATAATCCAGCAGTCATCTAGGCTCGATTTCCGCCGCTTTCTCGTGTTCGGGCTTTGAAGAAGGTTCGAGGGAAAGGAGCGCGG